ACAAAGATGTTGTTTCAACTGAGAGATGCCATGGTTGTCACTACCTGTAAGAACAATATCATCAACATATACTATCAAGTAAACACATCCAACGACTCGAGTGTCGATAAAAGACGTAATGATCCGATTCACACCGAGTCATACCAAATTGTTGAACAACCTTGCTAAACTTTCCAAACCAAGCCCTAGGAGACTGTTTTAGGCCATATAGGGATTTGCGAAGACGACATACCATCCCGGAAGACTCCCCCGAGCAACAAACCCAGGAGGTTGCTCCATATATATTTCTTCTTGCAAATCACCATTGAGGAAAGCATTTTTAACATCCGAGTTGATAAAGAGGCCATTGTTGAAGAAGCAACCATGGCGATAAATAAACGAACGTAAGCCATCTTTGCCACAGGGGAAAAGGTATCTCCATAATCCAACCCAAAAATTTGAGTATAACCTTTGGCCACAAGACGAAGCTTTGAGGCGATCAATAGTACCATCGAGTCCAACTTTGATAGCAAACACCCACCCGCAACCAACAACAGATTTCCCGGACTGTAACCGGACCAATTCCCAAGTTCCACTATTATGAAGAGCACTTAGTTCATCTAACATGGCCTGACGCCAACCAGGATGGGCTAAAGCTTCACGCATGCGTTTTGGAATGGTCACGTGAATAGAAATAGAGGAACGACATGTATAAAAAGGTAATGACAGATGATGATAACTCAAAGCAATATAATGGGGAGAGGGATTACGTGTAGTAACTAATACCTTTTCGAGGGCAATGGGAAGGTCGGACTCATGTGTCGATCCGGAGGAGACAGAGTAGTTGGCACTTGAGTAGAGTCACATGGTGGTGGTTGTGATTGGTTTCGAGAACTATAAATCCAAGAGGCAAGTGGAGAAGAAGCTAATCATGGAGCGTAAAACTAATGGTGAAGAAGACACAATTAGAGGGTCACAAACAACAGGAACATTAAATGTATTAGGAGTGTTGACAAGATTGGATGGAGACAGAGGTGAAGTTTGACTTTTAAAATAAAGAGACAACTCATCAAAGGTGACATCTTTTGACACAAAATAACGGTTAAGAGAAGGAGAAAAACATTTGTATCCTTTTTGTGATCTTGTAAACCCTAAGAAAACACATTTATGTGATTTAGGAGAAAGCTTGTCCAGCACTGAATTGAAATTATGAACAAAACATGTAGACTCGAAAACTTTCGTGAGGTAAAGGATGAAGTGGTTCATGAGGGAATAAAATGGAATGAGGTATTTTATTATCTAAAACCGAAGAAGGCATGCGATTAATGAGATAACATGCAGTAAGAAGAGCATCACCCCAAAAATGTTGAGGAACATCTCCATGAATTAAAAGTGTGCGAGTTGTTTCAATAAGATGTCTATTTTTACGTTCGACTACACCATTTTGTTGAGGTGTATAAGCACAAGAAGTTTGATGCAAAATACCGTGAGAAGCCATGAATTGTTTAAAAGAATGAGAAAGATATTCACTGCCATTATCACTACGCAAAACTCTAATAGAAACACCGAACCGAGTTTGAATTTCATTAAAAAAAGTTTGAAAGATATGAAATAATTCGAACGATTTTTCATCAAAAATAACCAAGTGCATCCGGAATAATCATCAATGAAAGTAACAAAGTATTGAAAACCTAAAGTAGACTTAACGCGGCTAGGTCCCCAAATGTCAGAGTGAACCACTGCAAAGGGACGAAGCACCACGTGTGAAACTACGAGGAAAGGAAGTACGACTATGCTTGCCTAATTGACATGACTCACACGCCAAACTAGATAAGTTAGACAAGGCAGGGACAAGTTTCGTAACTTGGCAAGGCTTGGATGACCTAACCGAGCATGAAGAAGAGAGGAGACTCCATAACCGTACTAACATGTGTAGAGGATCTGAGATAATAAAGACCATGAGACTCACATCCCGTGCCAATCACCTGTTTCGAACTCCTAGCTCCGTAAACACACGGAATTGTTGGTAAAAGTAACAACACAATCAAGAGAACAAGTTAGACGATCGATGGACAACAAGGTTAAAAGGAGACCCAGGGATATAAAGAACATTATCAATGGTTAAAGAAGGAAAGAGTTTAACCGTTCCAACACCATGAGATGATACTCGTGAGCCATCACCAAGGTAATGTAAGGTAAATGATTAGGAGAGGATAAAGAGGAGAACAAAGATTTGTTACCAGTAATATGATCGAGTGGCTCCTGAATCAAAAACCTAAGGACCAGGAGAAAATGATTGGGTCGGACCAATGAAAATATGTATTTGTATGTGTGACAGATATAGTGGAACTAGAAGACTGTTGATCCTTATACCATTCGAGAAATTTGTTGAACATAGCGGACATGTCGGATGCAACGGAAGAAAGAAGATCCCCTACAGATAAAGGTGGGGAAAGATTGGTCCGAACAACTACAGCAGATCGAGGAGAACGACCATGTAATGTATAACACTTGTTAATCTTGTGACCTAGCTTGCCACAATGTTCACACTTAGGACGCCATTTTTCCTGTTTGCGAGGGCGAGCCCGGTCATCACGATGGGATGTCAACACAAAAGAATCGTTAACAAAATTGGAAATAGTGGAAGAAGTCATGAAGAGCTGGAGAACAAACCCTCGACCGAGACAAGCAAAATCATATGTCACCTAGTAAAAAAAAATGAAACTCCGCGAATTCTCCGACAATGGCGGACCCAATGGATCGCTCCAAGCAGCAGCGGTGACGATAACGTGAACTAGTACACTAGGTAAGTTCCCAGAAAGAGAGGTGGGTCACTAATGGACACACTTAAATACCAAGTCTTTCCTTGCCGTAACTTTCCTAAACATGCACTTTCACACTACCAAATAAAATTCAATGACAAAGATAATTCTTTTCGATGTGGAGGATCGGCTTACCAGCAACGGTGGGGCGGCTCTAGCAGCGGTGGGCGGCTCCAACAAGTGGACAAAAGGCGGAAAAAAATTCAAGATAACCTTAAGCTCTAGATACCATGTTAAGGTTCCAACATAAAACCAATTAGCAATATGTGGAGTAGCCTAACATGTATTTAAACCATACCAAATGATATGAGGTAGGCGATGTGGGACTTTCAACACACCTCTCCAACGAAGCCTCACGGACCAGGCAAAGGGTACTTTTGACCCAACTAAAGGGCAACTTTTGGCCCATGACAATAACCGGAAAGATGTTAGGCTTTGACTCGATACCATGTTGAATATAAAGAAAATATATTTTGGAATTAATTTCCTTGTGTATAAATCACACATAGGGTGGTCTATTTATAGTAGAAAAATACAACTAAAAGAGTAAATGAAAGTAACAGAATAAACAGAAGATATTGTTTGATATTGTGGTTACCAATATCTAACAATATCTTAACAATATCAAATAATATATAAACAATATCTAACAGTATTTATAGAGGTATTCCCTATTTAATCTATTTTCTTTTTTAGTTCTTCTATTTGTATGTCTCGTATTACTTTTTAGCCTTAATGAATTTAATTCTTTTTGTGGTACATTAAAAAATTTATATATCGGCTTTATAGGTTCTTTTGAACTACTTGGTATATCTTTTAAATGTTTATTTTTTATTCTAATTAGTTGTTTTGACATTACTTCTAAAACTGTGTTAGAATAATTAAACTGAAAATGTAATTTTTATATCTTTTATTTGTACGGGTTTTTCTTCACTTTTAACATCTTTATATGGGCTTGCCTCTATTTCTAAATCTTTTGTAGGTTTTATTATAATTCTTTGTTGTAGAGGATATTCGGCTACTATTAGTTTATTATTAATTGTTTTCCAAGTATTTGATATTTTTTCTAAAGGATATATATGTTTTTCTTGATTATAATTAAAAAACCAATCAAAAAATATAAATTTATTTCATGTTGTTCTAAATAATCATAAAAATTCTTTCTAAATTCTTCTGTTTGTTGTTTTGTAAAAGTTTTAAAATACCGTTCTCTATTTTCTTTATTATATTTTGCTTCAAAATTTTGTCTAATCCAATTTTTATCTATTTTGAAAATTACTTCTCTTTCCATCATATTTAATATTTGTGATGTTGTTAGGGAGTATTGTGGAGATTCTGATCTCTTTGACTCTTCATATAGAGGTTTTGTGATCCTTGGTGTAATATTATTTAATCCTCTTAAATCTAAATTTATAGTAGATATATCTACCGAATGTCTTGAAGATTGTCCTTTATAAATCATTTGTGGTTCTCTAATTCTTAAAGATAATCTATTCATTCTAAGTTTTATATCCGTTCCTTCTTGGATTATTTCTCTAATCTGAGTATTATAAATTTTTGGTTCCTCTATAATATTTTCTAATTTCCATTTCTCTGGAAGTTTATTTATTACCTCTTCATGACTTAGTCTTTTTGGAATTTGTACTGATGACTTTCTAAGATTAACTTCTACTAATATGGTTTCATCTTTTGGTGAAGATCTTAAAGCTTTATAATTATAATCTATTCTCGGTTATTTTGTAATAAATTCTATAAATTATTTGTATTGGATCGATTCTTCATCTACATTTTCTTCAGGAATTTGGACATATAATTTTATAGCATTACTCGGTTTTTATCATTTTTAATATTCATAGAAAAGTTTGGATAAAAATTAAAGAAAACAGGTCCATCATGTAAATTACTTTCTAATATTGCAATTATTGAATCAATAAATTTTTTAAGTCTTATATCTCTTAATAATATTAATATTGGACTATGTACTCCTATTCGATAGTTTGGTTTTGCTGCTACTTGTATTAGTCCTAAATGAATAAAATTATATCCATCTTTTATATGTTGATCTAGAATTGATTGTTCTAAGAGAGATGTGGAATAAGAAAAATATGAATATGATGAAGAAAAGAAGTAGACAAAATAGCGTTTGAAAATGTACGAGAAGTAAAAGTAAAAAATGAAGTGCATTACCAAAAAAACAAGACAAGTGATGATGGGAAGGTTGATAAGGTTGTGTTTGGCAGAGATGAAGCATGTGGAGGAGCATATGAGGAGCATCCGAAGAAAGAGCACTTGTGCGGGCGTCCACTTGGATTGTGCTTTAGCATGCTATCCAATGAACTTTACATTGCAGATGCTTACAATGGCTTAGTTGCTGTTGGCCCCAATGGTGGCACTCCCTCGAGACTCATATCAATCCTAGAAGAAGAGGAAAAAGGTGAAGCCTTGTCATTTACAAATGGTTTGGATGTTGATCCACGAACTGGGGCAGTGTACTTTACCAGCAGCAGTTCTAAATATCAAAGGAGGTATATTCTTACTATCACTCATCATTTGGGTAACTGAGATGTTATTTAAATACTCTTTTTCTCTAGGTCTTACAATATCATAGACATTAATTAAGATTGATGCAACATATTTTCCCTTAGATTTGATCAACTTTGTCAAATGCAGGAATTACGTTTCTTTGATCCTAAGCAGAGATAAATCTGGGAAACTAATGAAGTATGAGCCACAAAGTGAAAAAGTTAGCATTCTTCTAAACAATCTCTCATTTGCAAATGGTGTAGCATTAAGCAAAGATGGTGACTATATTCTAATAATAGAGACCACAACATGTAGAGTACTAAGGTATTGGCTAGAAACATCAAAAGCTGGAACATTGGAAGTGTTTGCTGTTCTACCAGGTTTCCCAGACAACATTAAACGAAGTCCAAGAGGGGGATTTTGGGTGGGAATTAACTCAAGAAGAGAAAAATTAATCCAATGGATTCTATCATATCCTTGGATTGGACAAGTTTTGCTTAAACTTCCTTTGGACACTACAAAAGCTTTTTCATATTTGTCTAAGCTAAAAAGAAGTAGTGGATTGGCAATTAGGTTAAGTGAGTATGGTGAGATATTAGAAGTTTTTGAAGACAAAAGTTGGAACAAAGGTGGGTCTATTAGTGAAGTTGAGGAAAGAGATGGAATATTATGGGTGGGATCCATAGATGCACCTTTTGTTCGTAAGTACACTATTCACAAGTGAAGAAAATTACATAGAAGATATTGAACTCCATATATTTTGGATGTTAAATTCACAAGTTATACTCTCGAGTCTTCCAATGATTGCCGTCTTTTAAGTTTTTGAGAGTTCAAAAACTATATCAAAATTATAGAAAAAGAAATAAATTTGTATTGCAAATTTCACCATGGCAAGTCGTAGAAGATGATGACTATGGTGACCCTCTACCTTATATATTTTGTTGGGTTTGTCCCATTAAATCAAGAAAAGAGTTAGTGAGCAAGCTCCATATGCACACACAAAAGAAAGAAAGAAACTAATATCATTGTATTGGTTGGAACAATAAAATAAATGCATGTGTCTAACTAATTAGAGAACAAGTTGGCCTAGCTATTGTCTTTAACAATATTCTTGTTGCCTTAACTTATTTTACCTTCCCCACATGTGCTCCTTCTTTTAATATACAGTCAAAAGTTATCCAGTAAATTTTTTTAAATATAATATATTAAATTAAAATATTTTTAGATAATTTAAATATTTTATAATAAAAAATCATTTAAAATATAGTATTATTATTTAAATTATATTATAAAAAATAAATATTATATATATATATATTAAAAAAGGTAATAAAAAAATTAATTATTATAACAGAAGATAAAATTGTCAAAGAGATAAGATAAACATGATTTAAAAAAATTATAATTATAAAAAATATTAACTATAGTAAAAAAAAACTAAATCAAATTTATGCACATAAATAGAAGGGAGTGAAAAAAATATAATATATATATGGACGCTTACGAGAAAAGAGGAGTAAGAGAAGTAAAGTCCTACATTGCAAGAAACTTATTTTGATGCTTATTTTTCATTCTAAAAGAAACTTATTATTTATCTTATAAAACACACTAAAATCTTTTTTATTGTTTTATATAGGATTGTCAAAAGGGATGGTCCAACCTGACCTATTCTAGCCCTACGGGTAAAATAAAAAAAATTTAATAGTCCAACCCGACCTATATTTTCAAATGTGCAAAAAAATTTGGTCTAACCCGACCCTATGTTAAGTCAACGGGCTAACGGGCTACTCTTGGCCTATTTAAAAATAATTTTTTATTTATATAACTTTTTTTAATTTTGTTTGAAAAAAAATGTTGTTTATTTAAAATTAACTCATAACCTATTCAGAAAAAATAAAATAAAATGTATAAAATCATAAAAATGTGTTGATATAGTCATATATCCTTGTGTCTTGGAGGTATAGTTGTTCGTACAATCAAACATATCCTACGAGAAATATTAGATAATACATCATATCCTATCGAAATATTAGATAACATATATTTTAACTTTTTTCAATTAAATATATGTTATAAACTTCTATAATTTGAGTGTTTATAGTAATTGATTTAAAATATCTTACCGTAAATATTGGATAACACAACTTGTAACTTTTTTTTTGTTAAATATATGTTATAAATATATGTAATTGAAGTGTTTCTTTAAACCTCTATAATTGAAGTGTTTCTAGTCAATGATTTAAAATCGGGATTCAAAACTTTATTTACCCCCCAAACTCCCTCATACTCAACATAGTTAAATTGAAGATGATGCTTAATAGTGCATCTCGGTAAATTTTCAAGTCAAATTTTCATTATTTCAACAAATTAGTCTTATTATCCAACATAAGACTCATATAATGATACTTTAGAAATATATTATATTTAAGAATATGTTGTCTTAAATTATTATTTCTTAAAACAAATGTGACGACAAAAACAAAAATAAATGTGAAGGCAACAACACAAAGGAAGGAGATGACCAAAACAAATAAAGGTTATGTTTAAAGTTTATTATTCTTTCTAAATTTTATATATATATATATATATATATATATATAACAAAATATATTATCAAATTAATTTATTATACATATATTTTTTAATAAAATAATATTAATTTGATTTTATTGGTAAAATAATTATTATTTTATAAAATAGACTCATCCATAAACCTACGGACCAGCCTGACTTATGCCCATTTAGGCTTAGCCTAAATTAGTCGGGTCAAAATTTTCCTGGTTCTATTTAGGCCATAAATTTTTTGGCCTAGCCTAACCTATTTTTCGTGCCTTTCGGACTAAGCTTATTTTGACACCCCTAGTTTTAGTGCTTGAGAGAAAAATAAGAGAGAAATTAGTTTCTCCTTTGATGTTCTCCTTCTAGATCATTTTTGTTAATTTTAAGAAAGGGTGTTATTGTTTTCTCCTTGGAGTTAAAGAGAAAGAGATGTAATTTTCTTTCCTTTTAGTAAAATTACATGATTGTCTATTGCTTGTTTTGTTTCTTTATCTTTTATTTTAGTTGTGAGTTTCTTGTGCTACCTAATAATGCAATTAGAGCTACTTGGTTCTGGTTATATTTTATTGTTATTGTCATTAGAATAATGTTGTACAAAAATCTGAGTATGTTTTGTGATTGCAACTAGTCTGATCTTTCATATCAGAAATGAATTATTCTTGCTACTGGAATTGGAGTGTGGTAATGTGAAAGTATATGTCTAAAAAAGTCTTGACTATAAAAGACTTGGTATTTAAGCATGTGCATTAGTGATCTACTTCCCTTTCTTGAGAATTTACTTGGTGTACCAAATCACGATCTATAATTTATTGTTTCAGTAGACAATATTATTCATAGTGAGAAATGTATAAGTCGATTTTAAAGTCATAATAATAACAAAATATGAGATATAGAAATTTAATGGGGATAATTTCTCATTATGGAAACTGAAATTTAAGGCAATTATGAGAAATGACAGTTGCATAGATGTAATTGAAGAAAAACCTATGAACATCACATATCAAAAGTGGAAAAAAATGAATGATAATGCTATATTTGTATGCTACATTTGATTTACATCTCGAACAATTGGATGTAAAAATTGTTTTTCTTCATATAGAACTTGAAGAGGATATATATGCTTCAACCAGAAGACTTTAAAGAATAAGAAAATTTAGTTTGTAAGTTGAATAAATCCTTATACGGTTTAAAGTAGACACCGAGGTATTGGTACAAGATATTTGATTCCTTCACTATTAGTCTTAGTTACAATAGATTGACTTCAGACCATTATAATTATTACAATAGGTTTGATGAGAATGATTTTATCATCTTACTGTTGTATGTGGATGACATGTTGGTGATAGGTCCCAACAAAGTTCAAATTCAAGAATTGAAGACACAATTGGCTAGAGAGTTTGATATGAATGACTTATGACTAACAAACAAGATTTTAGGGATACAAATTCATCGAGACAAAAAAAGTTAGGAAGATTTGACTTTTTCAGAAGAATTACTTATTGAAAATCTTGTTGCGTTTCAATGTGCAAGATTGTAAATCAATTTCTACCTTATTTCTTATCAATTGTAAGTTATCCTCAAGTATGAACCCTAGTAATGAAGCGAAGAAGATGGAAATGTCTCCACTACCATATGCATCAGCAGTGGGGAGCCTTATGTATGTTATAATTTCTACAATACTAGACATTACCCAAACAATGAGAGTAGTTAGTAGATTCATGGAAAATCTAGGTGGAGATCATTGAGGTGTTATTAAGATATCCTTAAATACATCAAAGGAACCTCAAGTGTCGCATTATCTTTTGGAAGATCAGAATTAGGTATCAAAGACTATGTTGATTCAAATTTTGTAGGTGATCTTGATAAAAGAATATCTACTACTAGTTGTAAGTTGCTTATCCAAGTTACAGGATGTTGTAGTTCTATCTAATAAATAAATTGAGTATATGGCAGCTACTGAAGTTTGTAAGGAATCTATCTAGATTCAAAGGTTAATGGAGGAACTCAGGTGTAAGCAGCAAAATTGTGATAGTTAAAGTGTTTTACACATCCTGCTTTTCATTCTAGGACAAAACACATAGGTATACGTTATTACTTTGTTTGAGAAGTAGTAGAGGAAGAAAGTGTGAATATGCAAAAGATTCATACTACTGAAAACCTAGCAGATGCTATGACAAAACTGGTTAGTATTGACAAATTTATGTGGGTTTGATCTTACTGTAGCCTATTAGAAAACTTAGCAACATGATAGCAAAAAATAAAATATATATGGTATGAAGATTTGATTAATTTTATCAAAATTTTTAAGTGAGAGAATATGAGAAGTAAAGTCTCACGTTGTGAGGAACTTACTTTGGTGCTTATTTTTCTTACTATAAAAAAAGTAGTGTTTACCTTATAAAATACATCAAAATCTCTTCCTTTATTTTTTATATTGTTTTAGTACTTGAGAGCAAACTAAGAGAGAAATTAATTTCTCATTGGAAATTCTTCTTGGAGTTGATTTTTCTTCATTCCAAGAATAAATGTTATTGTTTCCTCTTTAATTTTTTTTATATTTATTTATTGAATCTATTTCTAGTTAAACAGGAGTCCTCTTTATTAATTCATAATTCTTATTTAATCTATCTCTAACAATAATATTCTTTATTCATTTATATTTATTATTTAATTTATCTTTAATTATGCATTAATATTTTTTTTATTAATATTTATTTTATCTTTAGTTATATATTTATTATTTTTATTAATTTATATTCATATTATTTAATTTGTCTTTAAATTTTCATAAAGAACGATTTTTTTAATGAAGATTTGATGTATTTTGATATTGAACTTTGAAGATTCAATGAATAAACATCAATAAAGGCTATGTTAACTAGTATCTATAAAATTAATTAAATTTTTTTAATATAAAATAAAATTAAATATATTCATAAAATTAAAAAGGTGATTTTTTATATAATATTTATTCTTTCGTTCTATTTTACTTTTTTTTTTGTGTATAATACAACTAAAAATATTAAGATAGAAGTTCCAACTTTTCCAAATGAATTCTTCTATAGCAACATTTCTACAAAGTATTTAGAGATAATTCAGTAGTTTTAATAAACGTTTAAGATATAAAAACAATATAAAATTATAAATTTCATATATATATATATA